CTGGGCGGACAAGACTTGGGAGTCAGTCAGTAAAGGTTTAGGGTTTTGGAAGGTGTGACAGGATGCTGAAAGCAGAAAAAGCTCTTGGGTTTGGTGCAAATGTCAGCGTGAATATTTTAATTAGAAACTTTGGCTGTCCTTGGAGCAGCCAATGCTGCCTGTGAAACTGACCATCCAGACATCCCTTCTGAATCCAAGAATACCCTTTCCTTATGCCAAGCTGACTCTCACTTTTGTTTCTTTTTGTATCCTTCACTATCTTTTGTTCTGCTCTGAGCACTGGGAGAACTAGAATTTGCCAGCCTAACACACTGCTTTGCTTTTCTACCATGCCACCTCCCTTTCTTCATCGAACTTTGCTGAAGGACAGGTTAGGTCCTGTGAATTAAGCAGCAGGTTGAGGATTGCTGGACTCTCAGGAGCCCTTATTAAATGGAAAGCATTCCTCCTCCCCATATAAAATTGCTCTGAGATACTCCATATCTCAAGATACACCAAGAAATAATATCTCTTTTTAACATGCTGTCATCTTATGTTGGTGTTTAAAAAATTTAACATCTTCCAAAATAAAAAAAAAAATAATTTTGCATAGATAATCTCTTAAATTTCCTGCTTATGTGAAGTTGGAGAAGTAACGTTAAAGATTTTGAGCAAGCCTTATCTAATTAGAACCTAGGACTTAATTACTTCTCTCCTGAAAGATGAGCCTCTGGGAGATAATTTTATGAGGATAGTATGCCTTGAGCAAAACACAGAAAATAGTTTTCTGTCAAAACTTAAGAAAATGGAAGTTTCATCATATAGATTGTTAACTGTTTTGCACATTGGTTATATTTATAAAAAGTCAGGCAACCAAAACTGAAATCAGAGAAAGTAGCAGAAGAATTGACAAAAGGTCACAATTAAGTTCTTTCTTCATTGTGAAATCTATTTCATGTTCAATCACTTTATTAACCAAGACATGCCAGGCCACTCCATGCCCTATCTTTTGTACTCCCAGCAATTTACTGGGATTCCTTCTGTGGATTATCTAATAGCAGGGAAAGTATAGATGCACCATTATCACTCCTGTTGTCACATGAGATATATTACATGGAGTTTGAGGAGAGTATTTTGTCCTGGATACAGAAATGAATTACCTGTCCATTCTGTGAAACAAGTGACAAGCTAAACCAGATGTACAGCAGCAGACTCCTGCACCATCCAGGCTGGCTTCAGTTTAGAATTAATCATTCCTTATGATCTTTATGAATCTGTATTCCCACTGGTGAGTCTTTTTATGATCGTGTTAACTCTTAAGGGCATTTATTTATTGACTTATTTAAAAAAACCCTTAAGCCTGCTGCTGCACTACTTGTGCAGACAAGTGTAGTAAAACACAGAGAACCAGTCACTTAATTCAGAGTGATAGCAATGAATACAAGTTCAGGATCAGCTTCTTATTTTTCACATTTTCATTTTCTGATTGCTCTTCCAATTTTGTTTGTTTTCTTCGGAGCTTAACAGGCAAGTATTAAACAGTTTAAGCCTAGAATTTGAGCAAACTTTGACTGGTCAATATTCTTTGCATGGGAAAGTGAATTTTATTGTGGTGTCTTAGCCCTGTTTGTGACTATGCTCTCTTTTTGATCATAGGTGTGGTGACCTATATACAGAGAGTTTAGCAGAAAGCTATTCCCTGTAAAATTTCACATATGGATCCAAACTCAAAGTTCCTCCCTCCTCAATTCCCTTGATTTTTTATGGCTCCCTTATCCAAAAAACTTGATTTTTAAACAAGCCACAACTACTTATGATTTAACACCTTGATATTTTGATGCATAAGTTTATCTTGGGACAAATGCTCTTATGTGCTCCTGTTTAATACCACATGTGTATGTATGTAAAAAAGATGTACATGTATCCTTACACCTTTATAGACATGCATGCTTATACAAGTACATATACATATATTCCTAGTTTTTTAGGTAGTCTTTGTTTCCAATAATGATTTTAGTCGAAATTCCAAAGTATGGATTTCATTTAGGATTAATCAAGCAATTAGTACAGCAATAGGAATTTATTGTTATAAATGTATAACAAATATGTGCCTTTTACAATAAACTTAAAATAATGTTTCTAATTAGCAAATGGAATCCAACATTTTCTAGCTGTCTCATTAAAATGAAATTAGATGCACAGTTGGGAATTTTAATTCCAAACATTCACCTTTATTGTTGAAACATGTTCCTGAATGAGTTCCTACACTATTACACAAAATGTCCATGCAATTGAAGTTGTAAAACATGGGATTGAATCTTGCTAACATCCCTTTCCAGAATTATGACATTGAAAGAACTTCAGAAGGAAAAAGGGGATAATATAAATGTATCCTCCTCTGTTTCATAGATTTCTACACTGTTTGTTGTGAATGATTATGTGCGACAACAAAAAAACCCCAAACCCCACAAACAAACAAACAAACAAACAAACAAACAAACAAACAAAAAACCCACCACCCTAGAATACCTCAGTTGCTTCTATAATACAATTTAATATTTCTAAGGCAATTCAAGAAAAGGATTAAAAAATATTAAGAAATAATGGCTTTAGGTGATAATGGTAGGGAGGAGTTTCAAAAAAATCTGCAATCACATGAGGCTCATGCCTAACAGCTGTCTAGCTCTTGCTCCAGACCATTTCTGCTCTAGATCTAAGCCTTAAAGAAAAGGGCGATTTTTAAAGAGGTTCAAAGGAAAAAATTCTCTGTGTGGATACCCAGACCAAGTCAACAAACCTGGGGCTTTGAACGTGAAGTGTCGAGTGTAGAGAATAGCTTTGCACACCTACCTCCTCCTGCAACCAGCACACAGGAGGAGGGACTTTTTCCAGAGAGGTTAGGACACTTTTGACTCTTAGGCAATTTGACTTCAGCAGTGGGAAGTGGGACACACACAACTCCTGACTCCTGGAGTCAGGTCCACCCAGGAGCTCCCACTCCAGGGAATGCTATAACTTCGTGAGGGAAGAGCAGATCTGGGACAGGCAGCAGCATACTGATCCTGTCCTGTGCCTTCAAGACCCCCATCACTGCTCCCCTTCCGGCCCTCTGAGTCCCTCAGATCCACAGAGGGGAGAGTAGAGGCAGAGGTGCCAAAACACAGAAGATGAGGGAAGAGGAGGAAGAAGGTGGAGGGAGACAGGGGAGACAGCCTTGACAAGCAAAAGTTCCTAAATGCTGTAATTAGATGGTCAGACTTTATTATACAGATTTTTCTCCCCTGTCCCTCTCTTATATTGGGACAGTTAAATATTTACATGTATCCATATACTTTTCAACCTTATACTGTTAAATATCATCCTTGTATCTTTTTGGTCTAATTTTCCAGAATCAGTCCGAGTTCTAATCCCAGTGAGCCCTTTCATCCTACATGGGGTGTTTACTTCCTATTGCCTTCACAAAGGCAAATGGATAAAAGTGATGCAAGTCTAATTTATGTCTTCTCTAGAAAAATAATCCCCTTTTGTTTCTCTAAATAGTACTGAAATATGCAGTTAACAGAAAAACACAAAGTATACAAAGATAGTGAAGGATGTTTCTCCTAAGCTCTCTGGTGCCTTATTTGTGCCTCATGTAGAGTGCTGACCTAAGTAAAAGCTTGATCTGCATCAAATGTAGTGAACTCCACTGACTTCCTTGAAGATTTATTAATGAGAGGCCAAAGAGTCGGGCTGCAAGGCTGCTTGGCTGCATGAGTAACTGTGAGAAATCCACCCAGTCATTCTGGCATGATGCACAGAAGATGGAGCTGATCAATAAATTCCAAATCACTTATTTTCTCTGGAAAATTATCAGAGTCTGGTATACAAATAAACAACTGCCACACACATCCAAACTCCAAATACAAGAAAAAGCAAGGGAATTAAGAGATTTGTGCATATCTTGCGCACCATGTTCCAAGAAAGGCCCTAGAAGTAGCCCTTTGTTGCAGAAGGCTACAAAGGGAAGGAAAAAAGGCAGTGTAAAGCTCCGTAACTGAATCTTGTAGAAATACCCTGTGTTTTTGCATGCTTCATTAATGCTCCCTGGTTTACCAACTAGAAACACACAGCGAGTCCAACCTTCAGGGGTCAGCAGTGCTCAGGATATCTCTGAACTGCACTCCAGGCACTGTGGGGACTATGGAATACTATGGAATAAGGGCTGACTCTGCTCAGAATTAATCCTGCACTTTTAGGTTGCATGGCTTGGAATCTGAAGAGCAGCTAACTGAAAATCAGCCCCCATCTCACAAATACCACTAATCACCAGGGCTCTTCTCTGAAATAAGGCAGTGTTTCATTCAGAGGGTGCACTTAGAGATTATTCTTGTAAATAGATTTGCTAGATTGCAAATTCTCAGTTTACTCCCTAGTTTGGAAATTAGATAAATACAGTAGCCTTTTCTGAGCTTTGTAGTGCAGAGAGTCCTGTGTCTTATGAGTGATAACATTCACTTTTGGAAAGCCTAATACTATCAGACTATCTGTATGTTCTCTGGAATAAAACTTGCTAAATGCAGCACAGTTTCTGTGGCTGTGCTGAAATACAAACAGTATAAAGAAAGGCTGCGGCTTCACTCTCATTTTTATGCCCAGTGGTTTTTCATAGACTGTTCTGCCTGAATTTGAGTTTTAGTAGATTATCTTCAAATTAGAGCTCAGGATGTACTTACAATTTAATGCCTTACTCCACTAGAAGCCTAACAATTTAAATGCAAGGGAGCAAAATCTTTATAGCTTTGCTCTGTCTTGACAATGTGCTGTTTATGGACTCTTTTTAGCATACACAGGCATACATGCATGCAAAGCCAAGAGGTGGAAGTGAAATGACTCAAACAATGAATCTTTCCTGTTACAACGTTATTGCTATTCCAGGCTTTCTTATTCTTGTTAAAGGACAGTGGATTAAATAAAAAGGGAATAAGAAGTGTGATGGATAGGAAAATATAATGATGACAGTATAATAAATTATTGCTTACCATTTCCTGAGTGTTTGCAAAATCTGCCTCTTTCGAGCTACACTGCACCAAAAGCATTATATTATTAATCAGGGCAATACAAAGGAATACATATTTGTATCAAAATCTACTTAAGTGTACTGATCATTCCTGCTCCCTAAAAGCAAAACCAAAATAAAAACAAAAAAAAGGAGATTTTAATCTCATTGAAACAGTACATGATACACTACTAATACTTCTGCATACACAGAGGTACATTGATATCTGATTAAAAATACAGTCTGAGCCTTAGCACACTGTCTTGCATGCAGACTTTCATTGAATACATGATAAACTACTCTTTATCTGAGAATCACAGCCATAACCCCTCAAGGTATTTTTATTTGACCTCGAATGAACATGAAAAAGGGGTTCACAGAGCAGCCATTTCTTTGCTATTTCTGCAGCATCTCTCAAGGCAATGGCAGTGCAGATTTAGTGTAGAAAGTGTTAGTGCTTCTGAAACATGTAATTAGAGTAAATCTTGAACTGAACTTGACTTTATTTTATATTTAATGACACAATCTCAAAAGTACTTTGATCTGCATTAATGCAGTTGCTGGAATAAAATTACTTTCAGTCATTTAGTGTTTTGATCCCACATTTAGCCACACTATCTAGCCTTCAAGAACTGGTGGTCTTTTGCACTGCAAGTTGTCTCTTACCCCTATTACCCCTAGGAGACTTACCACTAGAGAGTAACATATCTTGAATCCAGGTTTAGCCACAAAGTAGTCATCAGATTTGAAGGTTATCTTTATGTGATTTGTCCTTGATGTTATTCTTGGAGGCACTTCCTTGTGTCCACACCACCGTCCTCGAATAACTGTGCTGGTCTCTGACACATCTTCCACTTCCACAAAGTCATACCTGAAAAAGAGTATGAAGAATTAGTTTCTGCTAAGTCTGGTTACAGAAGGTGCTTGCAAAATGACAGGAGCACAGCTGGAGACACAAAGACATCTGTCCCCTGTTCTCCACTCCAAAACATCTGACTAAATATTACAAATGGTGGACAAGTCTGTGCGCCACTAAATACACTAAGCTGCAACCTACTGCCTGAGTGCTCAAATGACTGATTTCTGTGCTCCTGGAACATGACAGTATTTGCTACCATGTTAAAACAGCAATAAGAGGCACTTGCATGTGCTTAGTATACAGTAAGCATACGCATTGCATTTCATGTGGTGGGTAAATAATTTAGAGACCTGATAAAATATTATTTAAGGCAAGCTGCCTAACCTGAGCAGCTGCAAGCACTTGTGCACTTTGTGGTGGTCACCCAACTCCCTGCAGCAGCAGCAGCCACAGGAGTCTGCTCTGTTGGTCAGAGCGCTAGAGAGGGGCAGCCACTGCGCCAGGAGCAAAGGGAGGTGCTGGAGGGACACAGGGCAGTGCATGACACTGAAAGGTGCTTTTCAGGACCTCCCTTGTAGGTGGCACATTGCTCCCGCAGCTGGTTTGGAAAGATTTATGCCTAGCTTTCAAGCAGGAAAGCATGCTGCCGCTCTGTGTGCTGCAGTGGGGGGACATCTGCATGCTGTCACCAGGGAAAATGCAACAGCACATCTTGTTCTGTGAAAAGTCACATCTTGGCCAGGCACCCCTGCCACAGCAGTGGTTCCTGAGCCCAAAGAGGGCACTGCCAGGAGCAGAAGGCACCAAACCCCAGGGATGAAGGGACACAGTGGCACCACCCACTGCTCCAGTCTGTGCATTTGCCTGCTTGGGCATAAATGACCATATAAATAAATAAATACATAAATGAATATAGTTATTGAGTTGGAGAATAAAGGGGACAGAGAATGAAGTTCTGCTTTTACTAAATCTATGACAAAATATCTGTCAATATCTTTGGAGGCAGAATTAGGCCCCACACATTGCTGCCAGAGAGGCAGAGGTGATGACAAGAGGGGCGGCTTGAGTGCCATCCTCACAGTACACTTAAGCCTTAAAACCCTGGAGGTCTTTACCAGGAATGTTTTCTATTATCAAAGCATCTGCTCCCACCAAAGAAGGAGTTCAGGACTGTTGAGTGATTCTTGCTAGCAATGCACTGCTTCCCCCTCCCAAGTCTGTGAGCCAAGCACCCTCCTCCCTGCCCAGTTGTGGCAGCTGAATAGCTCTGTAAATAACAGACCTGCTTTTCTTTTTCTGCTGAGAGCCCAAGAGATAAAAACCACAAGTACTATGTGGTTTGAGAATATCAGCTCTGCTGCTTTTATATTCACCAACGCCAAATTGCACAGAACAGAAAATAACAGATACACTATGACCACTTAAATCTGCCCAAACTCTGCTGAAATATTCTTTTTTTGAAGCACACCAAAATTTAGTTTCGGGTAGAGGCAAACTTGTCTCAATCTCCCACTCCCTGGTGGCGATGGATGTGGTACCCAGCAGAGCTACCAAGGATCCACCCTGGCCCCCTGGGAAACACGGAATTGTGAATGCCTATTCCAACACAAGGGGTTGTGGTGCTCAGCAGGAGATAACCTTGTAAGCTTTGGTGAAAGCTGTCCTGACTGGCCTCCCCATTTTTGGAGGCCAGAAGCCAGATTAAGCAGAAAAAACAGAGAAAATCCACGGACTTTCAAGGATTATATCTGCTTTCCACAGCAGAGGCTTTGCTGCAACGATCATGGAAGTAGGTGTATTCTCAGTTGCTTCTGTGCATCCAAGGAGCCTCAGAGGCTGGGTAATTTAATTGCTTTTCAGAATAATTTCTTATCAAGTGCCTGTGGAAATGCTAACAGGACTTCTTGAACATTCTGTAAGACCTTGAATATTTCCTCTCCTTCTTCAGAAGCTCTGAAGAAATATAGCTCTGCTAAAATATACCTTTTCATTCCTCAGCCTGAATGAATTTCAATCAGGTCAGTCTTAATAGTATGCAAATTACAATAATTAGCATTAATAAAAAATTGAAAGAAAACACTAGGAAGTTTGTGGAGAAAAAAGCTTAAGGTCAAAAGCAAACACAAAAGCAAGGTAAGGTGCAGAGGTCCTGAATTACTTGTCCAGTATGCCTTCAAGCACATGCTTAGCTCTCGGCATTCATTTCAATTAACACAGCCCTGGCTGCCTCTCTAAAGCAGCACTGCAGGGATTGTCAGGGACTGAAGCTGCAGAAGGGATCGAGTTTTGAAAAATATATTGAGCATTAGCAAAACACCCAACTGCATACAGTATTTAAAAGACGTAAAGCCATCACAGTCTGTCTGACCAAAAAATTCCTCACTCTGGAAGTAATACTACCCAAACAAAGGTCTTCCAGAAATTCTAGTGTAAGTTTTACTGCAGAAAAGGATGTGATATTTCTCCAGCACTATGGATGATGGAAGGTCTTTGCTTTTCTCTGCATTCTAAATTCGCTGCTCTGGAAAAAGCAAGCAGACTGTCTTTCAAGATGCTCTCCAAGCACATAATGCCAGTAACAGCTTGACTTTCCCTCACTGTGCCACCACCTTTGATGACTTTTGACAGACAATACTTCATTTTTTTTTCCGCAGTAAATTAGCCCTCTGTTTCAAAGTTGCAGTGCTTTAAGGTCAGCCACAGTTTATCCACTATGTAAATATTAACAGGCTGCTTCTGTGTGCATTAGGCTCTGAATCTGGGAAAGCGTTTGGGGTACTGGGAGGTTACTGTTGTTACTGACTCTGCTGCTGATCTTGGACCAACATCACCAGAGCAGACCTGCCAAGGAGCAGGGATGGAGAGCCAATTTTAGGCTGCATTCTTTTATTGCTACATGGAAAACAAACCTGCGGGAACGGTTCCCTCTATCAGTAATGCAGAAAATTTAACAAAGAAAAATAAGGAAAAAAATCCATCCTGTAAAATGCCTGCAGAGATGCCAAGCCCTACAAACACAAATTAATTGACAAAGATAAGATAAGAAGAGGCTGGGTGTGCAGAAACACTAACAACCAAGTTCTGTGCATAGATAAGGTGTAAGTAACAACACAATCATGCAGAGTTGGAGGCTGAGACTTGGGCATTTCAAGTAAGCAGCATCACAGCAATCTGCCCTTTTGGAGGGCATGGGAATCCTGAGCCTGTTTTCTCCCACAGAAAAGAAAGCTGGATAAAAGAAATATAAACACATGGATTTATACTGTTTTAGTGAATGCTGGCAAGATTCACCTCTGTACTTTACTAATGCAAAACAGTTTATTCACCTAGGTTAATCAGCCAGATCAGCTGAGCTTAAGGTCACTTCTGCTTAAAAGGGGAACCAAAGCAACCGGGATATGGTAGGGCAGGCTTTAACAGATTTACAGACACATCAGCATGCATCAGTACACTGATATTTGTGGACCTACATTTGAAATTTTTAAAAGGAATTGTACCAGTGAAGAGTAAAAATAAAGATAAGCAAGTAATCTGAACATAATTCTATTTTTCAATACATTTTTATCTGTCCCTCACACCCCAATATAAATGCTTACCTACTCACTCAAACCTTCTAGAGCCCTTCACCTACTGAAAAAGACATTTCTTGCCTGGCTGAAATGCGGCAGAGGTGATAGAGGACAAAATCCTATTAAAGTAGCACCTATGTTGTTAGATAGCTGGATTTGAGCATACAAGTACCTTGTGCTTAAAATGTTATAGAAGGACTAAAACCTGACAAAACTGCTTTGGGTCCAGGACAGCTCAGTTTATTTATGAACTCAAAGTCCAATTTCAGCTGGGAGGGCCCCTTAAAGGTCTGTCCTCCTTGCAAGGACATCTTAGACCCATCCAGAGAAGCCCTGATTTTGCTTTGCAGTCCACGCCAGTGAGCTCAAAGGTGGTCCTTAGGAAGTGCTTTGCAAACTTTCACTTGGCACTCACCTGCAGATCTCATTTTCGGGTTCCTCCAGCCCAAACTGATTATCAAAAGCCAGCTGGATCCTGGTGCTCTCTGGGGAGTGGAGGCGCCACGTGAGCAGGAGGTTCCTGGGGTAGCTGCTGGGGAAGCGAGGACTGTGGATGCAGCCGTTCCCTGCCACGCTGATCGTCTCCTCCTTTCGGTACAAGTCTGTGAGGTGATTGCTCTCTGTTAGTAGTCACAACTTGTAGAAATTAGTATGTTGTTCCAGTTACAGGAAGGCAAAAAACACAACAATTTATAACACAGCACAATTATTATTAGCATTTCAAGTCTATAAAATGTTGGGTCTAGGAGCAGTTATTACTAAATGGGAAGTACACTGTATTTTCTCTTTATTCAATCCCCAATTAAACAGTAAGAACAACAGAGCTCAAGTATATAGACTCTTTATTTTACAAGAAATGTACAATTATTTTGTTACATTTATATTGATTATGTAAGTTCATTCTCACCACTTTGGTTTTAAAACAGAATTAAACTTTAATAAAAGCTTGAGAACAATGAAGGAAGAAAGACTGAAATGAAAAATGTAAATAGTCCTGCTTCCCAAATTTTGTGCTCTGGGGAGCAATGCCCTCTGAACAAAAGCAGCAATGAAAGACTGCAGGAAAGTGAGTATGGGTGAATTTATATTTCTTTACTGTGCTTAAGTATTTCCTCCCAGAAACATGTATGATTTTAAAATAATGTTTTTATTTATATGGTTTGAACCATTTTCTGCCTATGGTCTGTTTACTCAAACAGCTACTCCATGCTTATACCAATGTAAATGAGGCCAGATCCTATCCCATCAACCATCTTACTCGGTAACTTCAAGACAAATAGCCAAGTCTTCACTTAATTAAAATTCCACAATTTTTGCCTGAACAAATATTCAATTGTTCCTAAAGTTTACTTTTACCAAGGCAAATCCTCTACTGCTGTAAATCCATGGCTCCAAGGATTACAGGAACTGTGTCAAGACCCAGATCTCTAAACGCCAAAATGTCTTCTCAGTTGCACGATGCGCTTGCACTGCCCAGCTGTTTCTGATACTGGAATTTGGGTCATTTTGCATCAAAGAACTGCAAACAACCATTCTTCTGTGCATTGACAACTTTAGTATGGGGAAATTCTGAGGATCAGAAGGCTCCAAGGCAACATTCAGATGACAGCACGTTTCAGTTCCCAGTCAAGACATGCATCTCTGAGCCTCCACCTGTAGGTCAGCTACCTGTGGTTCATCCTCACATGATGTATGGGGATCTACATGAATTTGGACACGTGTTTTCATGTAAACACACAGACTCTGGTGTCTTTATCCTAAACTGAACATCATTCCACACTGCTGAATGCCACATCAACCTCCAGTTCCACTGCAAGCAATAGAAATAGAAAACTGGTTCCTTCTCCTGAATCTGGCCACTGAGGAAGACCAAATAGGGGAAAGTATCTCCACCAGGCCACTCTGTGAATGTTGGAAATACAAAACCTAAGCAACCAGCCACAGCCATCTGTCACACACACTAATCTAAGTCTTCACTTTTAAAATAAAATCTAATGTGTGACTGAATTTTTCTAAGTTCTTTATATGAAATAAATATACTTGTTTTATAAATGTTCATTGAAACGAAGAGTCCAGGCAAACAGTACAAACTTCTTGATTAGTACATCTATTTTTTAGGTTGCTTTTCACGGGTTCCTGGCTGTAAATACCTCCCTGCATGCAGCTGTAAACAAAGCACGGTTGTCTAACCATTCATTGTACTCTTCTGACAGCACAGTAATTCTAGCTTCCAAACAACCTGAAACTCAGAAGAAAAAAATCTATGTTTCTTATAAAATTATCTCCATAGACCTAACTGTGACATCTTTCTAAGATGCTTTCACACTCTAAGCCACCCTTTCTAAGCAAACACAGCCCTAGTTCAAAAAGTGCAGAACTAGTCAGTTTTGTTTCGTTCTGCTTTAACCAAACAATTTGCTTTGGAAAAGTGCCAATTTGGTAAAAATAAAGACCACCCACCTATTAGTTTTGTTGCAATTTTCATCAGGGACATCTATGCTGAAGTCTGTTTTGTATTTGCTTTCACTCTAAAAAAAGGACAAAAAAGACATCTGTGGGGTTTTTTTCCCCTGATCTGGAATGAAACAAAATGTCCAGCCAACACTACTGAGCTCTTACTGAAATCCTGAGGACCTCTGAACTCTGAAAACACCCAGTACGCTAAGAGGACACTATTTCACAGGACTTTATCCAAAACATCCAAGAAAAGGGATAAAAATAAACCAGACTTGATGATAACAAATCTAGTGAAAAACAACCATTCCCTAAGTTGGAACAAAAGTTACTGCAGTAAAACATGGCAAAACTCATCCTGTGCCTGAGAGTCCATTACTCTACTTTCTTGAACAGCAAACTACTGTCATTTTCCCTCTGCCACCATGCACTTCACTGCTTGGTTCAATCTGGTTCATGATTCTGAGGGAAAGGTTCCCTTTTCCTGGGCAGTCCTAGCACAGGCTTTACTCTCGTGTTGTCACCTGCTGAAATTAAGAGTTCTGGGGACAGTATCTGTGAAATGTGCTCATACATATACCCCCAAACAAAACATCTGTGCACACAGCACACCAACTGAGAATGAGCACTATTTTCTCTCTTATACATCAAGAAGAGGGTCTGTCACAGCTTTTCATTTAAATTAAACTCTGAATCGTGCAGACTGCAGTGCCCTGCCTGCAAGGCAGTCACACCTGACCAAGACCAGTGCTGAAATGTCATGGCTGGCACAGCTCTGCAGCATCCAAGTTGTACAGGTACATGAAGCAATAGAGCGGCACGTGTTATGAAGCTTACAAATCAAAGCACAGTGACTTGTTATTTCCACCATGGTAAACGCAGCAATTATAAAGTCATTGTAGAGGAATGGCTGGAGAGAAGCATGGGGAGAAAATTCTCACTGTAGTAAAATAAGGGATATTCATATATTCCACTCTGAGGAAAAGCCCTCTCCGTAATGGAATAAAGTATGTTTGATAAGAATGGCCATAAATACTGCTTCTATAGCCCACATGGGATGAAATCTAAAGCTATTCAGAGCCCTCATGTGATGCTGGAGCAGACTCTTCAGGAGCCCTGAAACAGCCTGACTCCCTCTCACCCTCCTCACCATGCACTAAATTACAACCTGAAGTGGTGTAGCCAGCACTGTAATCAAACACCACAGAATTTTCTAAGGTGATTTTCATTAGGATTTCACAGATAGAACACAGTCAACACAGAGTTGCTCCCAGGAGGTTGGCTCCTCATGAATCATCAAGCATCTGGGAAACAGCTTGAGGAGATGTGAGCAACTCTCGTACCTTTTGTATCAACAAAGCTATGAGACTAAAATAAGACCTTTCCAGGCAGGCAAGTATTGTCCTCATCAGATACACTGGGGAAGCTCATGGAAATCACACATTCACCAAGGGAAAAGTTGGGATAAAACTCACTTAATAAAAGGCATAGGCAAAGGAAAAGACAGTGTGTCTTTCAAGGCACTGAACTGTCCCATGCTGTAACACAACACAATGCACTACTCCGTGTCCTGGATGTCACATTCTAACTGTACTCCATAATGCTTTATGGGAGTAAATAAAACACGACAGCGCATAATGCACTGCCTGTCACATTTACTAAAAAGCATATAAAATCATTTCACAATGAATAAAAGCAGGTGCTAAGTCACAAGGCAAAAAGGCCTTTTAGGCCATAAACAGAAGGAAGATATTCTAGATGGCAGAAGCCACAAACACATCCTTGCACTGGGGGAGAAAAACTATCTCATAAGGAAGATGAATGGGAAGGAATCTGGAAGACATCCTTTTCGGTGAGGCAATTCCCTGTAGAGAGTCTGAGCTGATTGTGAAGCAGCTTGCTCTATATTTTATTAATCTGAACTAATCTCTCCCTTTTTTTCCGCTCTTAATTCTTTCGCAACCACAAATTTTAAACATAATGGCATACATGATAGTCCAGCTGTCCAAATTAGAGGAGCTCCCATTTAAATGCTCAAGGCAACTGCATTTTCCAAAGTGTCTGCCTTCCTACCCTGCAAGGAGTGCAGCTGGGTGTCAGAGAGGGAACTGGGATGTACAGTTTAATATTCAGGAAAATGTGCTTGTCTCAAGACAGGCCTCACCATGCATGCCCAGTGCATCCAACGTTTCCCATTCCCAGTGAGGCCATGCGGCAGGAGCAGCAAGAATCAGAAAGATGAATTTCATCCCATGTTTTCTCAGGATGCCTGCACTTCCTTGTGACATTTAGCAACACATCAACACTTCCCTCTTAAAGCTACTCCTCCTAGTCATGACATGCCTATTACTATAGACAGAAGTCTGCTTGTATCATCATCATCGTTCAACAGGCAATGAAGTCCTTCACTAAAAAAATGGTAATAATAATTTAAAAAATCCCAACGAACCTAAAAGGCAATTTCTAACTGATAATAGCTAATCTGACATCTGTTCTGTGATATATCCAGCAAGAAGAGTCTGTAAGTGTCAATTCCTTTAGAAAGGAGAAGAATTGAGAAAATGACCTTGTCTAAGGACCTAACCAACAATATGGAATACTTAGCTCCACCCTTCTAAGGTTTCTGAATTTCAACACTTCCCACATTTCCTAAGGTGTTGTTTTGTTTCTAAGTTTGCTTCTGTCTTTCTTCCCCTTGGGAAAGTTGGCTAACCAACTTTGATACAGCAGTAAAGGCTGAAAAAATACCATATTCTGAATGTATTATGACAAAAAATACACCCTCTGAAATGTCATGGAGTGCAACCTCATGAGCTCATCCCTCTGGTACAGCTGAGGAGAGAGTTTCTGAGAACCATGGTGAAGTTCATTTCATTACTTATGAAAGTATTTGTTATTTCAGGAAAGGACCTCAGGATTTTGCATGTGGGGGTTTTCCAGATATAACTCTCCTCCCCCACTGCTGTTGTCTTAAAAAAAAAAAATAAATACAGCAGTCAGGGGTTTGCCACTAGTTTTTAAACAAATGAGATAACCTTCAGGGAGAATAATAGCTCTTCAGCTCCTCCAGTTGAAAATTAGCCTCATCTACATAGCTGAATCCACAGAGAAAGAACAGTAAAACACTTTTGAATCCAGACCACAAATCAGCTCATCTCAGGGACAG